CCTTCAGTTCTCAGGAAAATGTATATGGAATGCCTTTTGCCCCTATAATTATAGACACATGAAATATTAAAATAACTTTATGTAGTAATCAAACATAGGATTTTAAGTGTAGGTTTTCTTATGAGTTAATCACAGGTGGGTTGTTTTTTTTTTTTAACGTTAAGAGGTTTAAATGAGATTCCTCTCTCTCCTTACTGAATGTCATTGAACTAATTGCATCTTAATACACAGCCAAAGAAGGAGACAAAAAATTTTTTCAGTTAATCCGGAAATTAGCTTTTTCCTTTGTGTGACCAAAAAAAAAGAAGAGTAAAGGACTGGAATGGACATTTTTCCAAAGAAGACATACAAATGGCCAACAGGTATATGAATGGTGCTCAACATCACTAATCAGGGAAATGCCAATCAAAATTATTAGATATTACCTTACACCTATTAGGATGGAGAATTGTAAAAAAGATATGTGTTGGTGAGGCTATGGAGAAAGAGGAACCCTTGTATACTGTTGGTGGGAATGTAGACTGGTTCAGCCATTATGGAAAAAATTATGGAGGTTCCTCACAAAATTAAGACTACCAATCCCTCTTGTAGGTATATAGCCAGAGGAAATTAAATCACCTCAAAGAGATAGTGGCGTTCCCCTGTTCATTGCAGCATTATTCACAAAAGTCAAGATATGAAAACAACCTAAGTATCCATTAACAGATGAATGGATAAAGAAATGATGGTATTCACACACACACACACACACACACACACACACACACAAACACAGGACTATTTTTCAGCATTTAAAAAGGGATATCCTGCCATCTGCAACATCATGGATGGACCTGGAGGACATTGTGCTGAATGAAATAAGCCAGACACAGAAAGAAAAATACTGCATGGTCTCACTGCATAGGAGCAGAGAGTATAAGAATGGTGGTTTAGGGGTGAAGAGGTGGGGGAAATGGGGAGATGTTGATCAAAGAGTACAAAGTTGCAGTTATGTAGGATGAATAAGTTGAGAAATCTAATGTACAACATGACTATAGTTAATAACACTGTACTGTATATTGGAAATTTGCTAAGGCATAGATTGCAGGTGATCTGACCACAAAAAAATAAAATGGTAACTATGTGAGGAGATGGATATGTTGGTTAGCTTGACTGCAATAATCATTTTCCTATGTGTATGTATATCAAAACATCATGCTGTATACCTTAAATATATTCAATTTTTATTAAAAATAAATATAATAAAGTCAGAGGTAAATTAAAGAGAAAATTAGCAACCTGCAAAGAAGCAGGAAATGTGTTCAAAAATGAGAAAAATTAATAAATGGAAACTGATCCAAAAGTCTTGCAAATCGTAGACTTGTCAGGCAAACACATTAAACAATTATTATAAACATATCCCATGTATTCAAAAGTTGAGACATGAAAGATCTATCTGTTAAAAATAAAAGAATCAAATTGAACTTCCAAAGATGAAAATTAGTGTATGAAATGAAAAACACTGGATGGTATTAACATCAGATTGCACACTATAAAAGAAAAGATTGGTGGACTTGAAGATACAGCAGTAGAAACTATGGAAAAAAAAAAACACCAAAATATTTTGCAATGCAAAGTGCATCATGATGTGATGCTATGCAACAACTTCAAATGGCATAATATAGGGTTAAATAGAATCTCTGAAAGATATAAGAGACAGGAGGGGACAGATAAAATATTTGACAAAAGATGTGAAAGCCCTATCTACTGAAAATATAAAATATTGCTGAGAGAAATGAAAGGAAGGGCTAAATAAACTGACGATATACTGTGTTCAGGTTTGTAAAACTCAATATTGTTAAGATGTCAGTTCTCCTCAAATTGACCTAAACATTCAACTATCCCAATCACAATCCAACAGCTGTTTTTGTAAAAGTCGATAAGCTAATTCTAAAATTTCTATGGAAATGCAGAGGACCTAGAATAGCAAAAACAATTTTGAAAAAGAACAAAGTGGGAGGTTTCATACTATCTGATTTCACGTCTTACTATAAAGCTACAGTAATCAAGACATTGTGGTATTGGCATCAAGATAAACGTACGGGTCTAGCAATAGACCCACAAGTGATTTTCAATAAAAGGGCCAAGGCAATTCAATATGGAAAGGATCGTCTTCAACAAATGATGCTTGGACAGTTGGATATCCATGTGCAAAAAGATGAATTTAGACCCCTACTGTACAGAAAAATAACTCAAAATGGATCTAAATGTAAGAGCTAAAACTCTTATAAGAAAACTTAGGAGAAAGTCTTTGTGACATTTGATTAAGCAAAGATTTTTAGCTATGATATGAAAAGCACATATGACAAAAGAAAAAAAATGATAAACTGGACTTCATCCAAATTAAACACTATAGTGCTTCAAAAGACACCATCATAATAATCAAAAGACAAGCCACTAACTGGGAGAAAATACTTGTAAATCATATGTCTAAGAAATGATTTGTATCCAGAATATGTAAACAATTCTTTCAACTCAATTATACAAAGACAACCCAATTAAGATTGGGACAAAATATTTAAATAGACATTTTACCAAAGAAAATATAAAAATGGCTAATAAACACATGAAAAGATACTTGACATCATTAGTCATTAGGGAGCTGGAAGTTAAAACCACATTGAGATACCACTTAACCCCTAACACTGCTATGATAAAAATGTTACCAAGTGGTGAGGATCTGGGGAAATGACTATGTTGCTGATGGGAATGTAAAATGGTATAGCCACTTTGGAAAACAGTTTGGCAGTTTCTTAAAGAGTTAAACATAAATATATCACCTAGCAATCTCATCCCTAGATAACTATCCAAAATAAATGAAAATATATATTCACACAAAGACTTGAAGATGAATGTTCATAGTGGCATTATTCATAATAACCAAAAAGTGGAAATAATCCAAATGTCCATCAGCTAGTCAGTAAATAAAATACGGTATATCCATGAAATAGAATACTATTAAGCTATAAAAAGGAACAAAGTACTGATACATGCTATATAACATGCATAAATCTCCATTATGCTAAGTGATATGAGCCACAAAAGACCACAAATTGTATGCTTACATTTATATTAAGGTAGATGCTACAACATGGATGAACCTTGAAGATATGCAAATGGGCATGAGAAATATTCTTAGGGTCATAGAATTATTCTACAAGCAGATCGTGTTGGTTACAGAACTCTGTAAATTACTAAAATTTGTTGAATTGTATACTTTAAAAAAGTCAATTTATAAGATGTAAATTATACCTCAGTAAAGTCATTTTAAAAAGCCAGTCAGTTTTTCATCAATTGGTGCTGGGAAAACTGGATACTGAGATGCAAAAGAATGAAGTTGGACCCTTACCTTGCACTATATACAAAAATTAACTCAAAATGGATCAAAGACCTAAACATATAAGAGCTGAACTGTAAAGCGCTAAAAGAAAACAGGGGAAAAACTTCATGAAATTGGATGTGGCAATGATTTCTTGGATATGACACCAAAGACACAGGCAACAAAAGAAAAATTAGATAAATTGGACTTGATCAAAATTAAAATCTTTTATGCACCTAAGGACACAATCAACAAAGTAAAAAGACAAAGCACAGAATGGGAGAAAATATTTACAAATCACATGCCTGATAAGGGATTAACATCCAGAATATATAAATAAGTCCTAAAATGCAACAACAAATAACAACCCAACTTAAAAATGGACAAAGGACTTGAATAGACATTTCTCCAAAGATATACAGATGGCCAACAAGCACATGAAAAGATCTTCAACATCACTAATCATTGGGGAAACGCAAATCAAAACCACAATGAGAGACCATTTCACACCCATTAGGACGGCTATTATTAATAAAACAAAACAAAATAGAAAACAGGTGTTGGCAAGGATGTGGAGAAATTGAAACTTTTGTGCATTGTTGGTGAGAATGTAAAATGGTCTAGCCATACAGGAAAACAATGTCAGTGCCTCAAAAAATTAAACATAGAATTACCATATGATCCACCAATTCCACTTCTGGGTATATACACAAAAGAATTGAAAGTAGGGACTCAAATAATATTTGTACACTAATGTTCATAGGATCCTGCATTATTCACAATAGCCAAAAGGTGGAAATCACCCAAATGTCCATTGATGAATGAACTGGTAAACACAATGTAGTATAAAGATACAATGGAATATTATTTAGCCTTGAAAAGGAATGAAATTCTGATATATGCTACACTGTGGATCAATATTTAAGACATTATGCTAAGTGAAATAAGCCAAATACACAATAAAAGTATGATTCCATTTTTTGAGATATCTAGAATAATCAAATTCATAGAGACAGAAAGTAAGATGGTGGTTACTAGATGCTGAGAGTAGGAGAATGGGGAATTAATATTTAATGAATACTGAGTTTCGGTATGGGATGATGAAAAAGTTCCAGAGATGGATAGTGGTGATGTTTACACAACACCGTGGATGTACTGCTCCTGAACTGTACAGTTAAAAAGGGTAAATTTTGTTATGTATATTTCACAATAAAGAGTCAGACTGAAAGAGGAGATATTATTAAATGATGCTGTTGGATAATGTATTTTAATATGCTCAAAAATTGATTTTGAGTTATCAAGAGATTGAGATATGTTTCTGTACTTTATAATTAAGTGAAATTAAGTATTTTAACAGTTACAAGTTTGTTGATCTTTACCATATTTGTAATGATAACGTCTGGAACCACATTCGTTTGTAAAATGCTTTGATGGTAAAATAACCAATTGAGAAGTTCTCAGAGAACTGAACATTTATTATTGATCATGGTGTTAACTGGAAAGATTAACACAGATAAAGTCAAATCTGACAGGAAGAATGTGAATGGTCACCTGCCTAAGGCTTTGAATGCACAAGTACCTATGCTTGTAATTTACCAACGGCATCTCTCCCTAAAAGGTTTGCTTCTTGATTTTTTTTCAGAATGTTCAATGGGATGGTAAAAAACTCAATTCTTTTTTAGAAACCACACACACATAAAACAACAAATTGACCTCTTTCTGTCTATAAAGACACATTGTAATAAAATGAAAAGTACTTTAAAGCCTTTCCACACAGAGCTACTCTGCTTTAATTGGGAAAAGTTTTGGAACGTAAGTATTAAATTGCTACTTTTTTTAATGGAGGGAAAAAAGATGTCAAAACAAAGGGTAAAAATCTGGCTATGGTATTGGGCATACACAAAATTAGCTCACTGACCACTTATCTTTTCAAAGTCAAACAATCTCAGTCAATAATTGTGAGGTCACAACTATAAGGAAACAAGAGAAATGCCTTTTACCACATGTGACAAGATCTGTGTCGTGACAATAAAGTTGATTATGGGGACTAGGACTTGCTTAATGATATTAGCTATTTATATTATGCAAATCACTGCATATTTAATTATGAAAATCACCACATTCTATTTTAAAAATTACTAATAACCTATCTTCACCAAGAAACTCCCTTTGCCACCACACCAATAAAGATTTATTCAGTTTACCAGCTACCCTGTGATAGGTTTGTTCAGGTCACCTAATGTGCCTCTAGAATATAGACCTCCCTAGGCAATCTTCCCCATTTGTTCATTAAGTAAACCCACAGCCTAAGTCCTAGCATACATTTAGGTTGTAATTATGTATCATCTCTATTGCAATAATGCCCTAGTTCTGAAAGTACAACTCTTCAAATGGAAAGAAAGCAATGTATCATGAATGTCAGATGCCTGTATGTGCCAGGCACTGTGGTCGCTATTTCATATATGTTAACTCATACAAGTCAACACCTGTTGTGAGGCAGGTGCTATTAGTCTCACTCTACAAGAGAAAACGTGAGGCTCAGAGAGGTTAAGGTCAAGATCACACATCTAGAAGGTGGTAAGACAAGGTAAGTCTAGCTCCCAAACCCCCATGTTTTTCATACTGTACTTATGCTTCCACTGATATGGGTGACAGTCTCAGGGCTCACTGGCTTTAGGGGGAGTTTTTGCCCCTATACTAAACAGCCCTAGCCAGCCACAGGTTCTTTTAGTCCTTGTGTTTGACACTTTCTTCTGTTATCTCGCCATCAGTTATTCTCATTGCTGTTAGTGTGACTCTCTGGCAGTCTTTTCCCCATACCCACTTTTTTATCATTTGTACTATCTTTAAAAAAAACTCACCAAGCTTGTTAGAACTTTGGATAACAGAGAAAATAGGCTGTGAGGACACTTACTTGAGACCTGACACAACTCTTCTGTGTTCTGATGAGCATTGGAGGGCAGAGTGCTGGCTTGTTTGCGTGTTCTGGGCTATCTCACCTCAACTCTTCACATCACAAACAGAAGGGGTAGGTTTATATATGTGAATAAGGCAAGAAATACGTGTTGGTGGGTGTGCATATAAACAAAAATTGAGATGGAGAAAACATCTTAATTCTTATTTTCCATAGGTCATGGAGAACACTGAGGAAATATCAAAGTGAACCAAATCATTGCTTCTTTGTTACAAAGGCAGAAAATGAAACACCATAAGGTAAAAGATTTAATCTCTCTTTCTTCCCTAAAGACTTAAGTTGTCATACCATGAAACACAGTCTGTTCTGCTGCAAGGTATGTGTGTTTCTGTAATGTATATTATTGACTCATATGCAATTGGTAAATAGGGGAATGATATCAGTCCTATGTGGAAGTTGCATTGGTTCAGACATTTTTCCCAGTAAGCTAATATGTTGAAGCAGTCAGAGGCAAACTTTCTGACAACTAAAGAGGAACTCTTAGCAATATATGAAGAGCCTAAGAAAAAAGATGAAAATCCTTCAAGTGCAAGGAGTGGCGCATTTAGTGCCTTCAAAAACCTCCTAACTTTTCGCTATGTTAAGCTGTCTGGGAAGCTGCGAGTACAGGTAGGCTGTGAAGACATTTCATCTGGTGATTAAGAAAAAAGCACTGATTAATGAAGAAGGCTACCTCTAGATCATATGTTTAGTATTGATGAAAATGGTTTCAATTAGAAGTGATTGATTTCAAGGATCTATATCTGAAAGGAAGAAACACAAGCCCAAAAGTTTAAGGCTGCAAAAGATGGACCAACTAATTCTCTGTGCAGATACTAGGGGAAATTTAGGATTATTGTTTTTGTTACTGCTCAGATTACAAAGTTCCAAATCTATTTTCCCCATAAGCCTTTTCTTTTTTAGGGCATGATTTTGCAGAATGTGAGGTTTTCATCTTATTAGGGGCAATATGAAGAATTCATTAGGCTAGAACAATTTCTTCAGACAGATTTTTCCAACTGTGAAGTTACCCTGAAACATAATAGAAAGCGATAATGACCTTCAGGAGGCAGGAAAATAAACAGTTCTGGAGTAGTTTGGAACAATGGGTGTTCCGAACACCAAAGGTCTGGGGCTGGCAAATAGTTGAGGCAGAGGAGCAAGCACTGACTGAATGAATCTAACGGTCCTCCTGTGAACCGTTTCCCCTTTAAGACAATTTCTCCACATCCTCACCAACATTTAGTGTTTTCTTCTCTTTTTTCTTCTTCTTCTCCCCAAAGCCCCCCAGTACATAGTTGTATATTCTAGTTGTAGGTCCTTCTAGTTCTGCTGTGTGGGTCACTGCCTCAGCATGGCTTGATGAGCGGTGCTAGGTCCACGCCCAGGATCCGAACCAGTGAAACCCTGGGCCACTGAAGCAAAGCACATGAACTTAACCACTCAGGCACGGGGCCAGCCGCATTTATTGTTTTCTGTTTGTTTTTTGTTTTTTTGCAATAGCCATCCTAATGGGTGTGAAGTGATATCTCATTGTGGCTTTGATTTGCATTTCTCTAATGATAGTGAGGTTGAACATCTTTTCATGTGCTTATTGGCTATCTGTATGTCTTCTTTGGATACCTGTCTATTCAAGTCTTTGCCTATTTCTTAATTGGGTTGTCCTTTGTTGTTGTTGTATTTTAGGAGCTCTTTATATATTCTAGATGTTAATTCTTTATCAGGTATGTGATTTACAAATATTTTCTCCCATTTAGTGGGTTTTCTTAACTCTGTTGATAGTGTCCTTCCATGCATAAAAGTTTTAAATTTTGATGAAGTCCAATTTGTCTATTTTTTCTTCTTTTGATGCCTGTGACTTTGGTGTCATATCCAAGAAATCATTGCCAAATCTGGTGTCCTGAAGCTTTCCCTGTTTTCTTCTAAGAGTTTGTATAGTTTTAGGTCTCACATTTAGGTCTTTGATCCATTTTGAGTTAATTTTTGTATATGGTATTAGGTAAGAGTCCAATTTCATTCTTTTTTGCATGTTGCCATCCAGTTTTCCCAACACTATTTGTTGAAAAGATGTCCTTTTCTCATTAAATGGTCTTGGCACACTTCCCTAAAATCACCTGACCATATATGTGAGGATTTATTTCTAGATTCTATATTCTGTTGTACTGGTTTATATGTCTGTCTGTATTTCAGTACCACACTATTTTGATTACTGTAGCTTTGCAGTAAATTTTGAAATCTGGAAGTGTGAGCCTTCCAACTTTGGTCTTCTTTTTCAAGACTGTTTTGGCTATTTGGGGTCTCTAGACTTTCCATTGAATTTTAGGATGTATTTTTCTGTTTCTGTAAAAAGATGCCATTGAAATTGTGAAATGGATTACATTGAATCTGTAGATCACTTTGGATAGTACTGACATTGCACCAATATTAAGTCCTCTAATCCATGAACATGGGATGTCTTTCCATTTATCAGTCCCATCTTTAGTTTCTTTCAGCAATGTTTAGTTTTCACTGTACAAGTCTTTCACCTCCTTAAGCTAATTCCTAAGTATTTTATTGTTTTTGATGCTATTGTAAAGAGAATTATCTTAATTTCTGTTCCAGATTGTTCATTATTAGTGTATAGAAAGGCAACTGATTTTGTACATCACTTTTGTATCCTTAAACTTTGCTGAATTTGTTTATCCTAACAGGTTTTTGTGTGTGGGACTATTAGTGTTTTTTACATATAAGATCAAGTACTCTGCTAACAGAGATAATTTTACTTCTTCCTTTCCAATTTCAGTATCTTTTTCTTGACTAATTGCTCTGCCTAGAACTTCCAATACTATGTTGAATAGCAGTAGAAAATCTAGCATCCTTGTCTTATTCCTCCTCTTCGAGGAAAAGCATTCAGTTTTTCTCCATTGAGTCTGATGTTAGCTATGAGATTTTCTTATGTGAGGTAGTTTCCTTTATTCCTAGTGCTGTTTTTACCATAAAAGGCTCTTGAGTCCTGTCACATTCTTTTTCTGCATCAATTGATTCATCATGTGGGTTTTTCCCCCTTCGTTCTGTTAATGTAACATATTATATTGATTGATTTTTATCTGTTGAACCATGCTTGCATTGCAGGAATAAATCCACTTGTTCAAAGTTTATAAAACTTTTATTATGCTGTTGAATTCAGTTTGCTAATTTTTTTAGGATTTTTGCATCAATTTTCATCAGGGATATTGGTCTGTAGCTTTTTTTTTTTTCTTTTCTTGTGTTATCGTCTGGCTTTGGTATCAGGGCAATGCTGGCTTTTTGGAATGACTAAGTATTCCCTCCTCTTGAATTTTTTGGAAAACTTTGAGAAGGATTGGTCTTATTTCTTTTTTAAATATTTGGTAGAATTCACTGCTGAAGCTATCAGTTGCAAGGTTTTTCTTTGTTGGGAGGTTTTTGATTACTGATTCAATCTCCTTTCTAGTAATAGGCCTATGTAGATTTTTTTATTTCTTCATGATTCATTCTTGGTAAGGTTTTGTGTTTCTAGGAATATATCCATTTCATCTAGGTTATACAATTTGTTGGCATACAACTGTTCATAATACTGTTATAATCTTTTTTATTTCTATAGAATCATTAGTAACATCCCCACTTTTATATCTGCGTTTTGTAAGTGGAGTCTTCTCTTTTTCCTGGTCTAGCTAAAGGTTTGTCTACCTTGTTAATCTTTTCAAAGAACTAGCTTTTGGTTTGAGATTTTCTATTGCTTTTCTTTCTTCTATTTTGCTTAGCTTAGCTCTCATCTTCCTTCTACTAGCTTTGGGTGGGTTTAGTTCATTCTTCTTTTTCTAGTTCCTTAAGTTAACAGAATGTTGATTTCAGATTTTTTTCCTAAGGTAAGTACTTAAAGTTATAAATTTCTGTCTTAGCACTGCTTTCATCACATTTCCTAAGTTTGGGTATGTTGTGTTTTGCTTAATATACTTTCAGGGTCTGTTACTAGATGTGTAAATGTTTATAACTGTTACATCTTTAATGTATTAAACCTTTTAATATATAATTCCTTCTTTGTCTCTTGTAACCTTTGTGGACTTAAAGTCTATTTTGTCTGAAAATAGGATAGCCACCCCTGCTCTCTTTTGGTTGCTATTTGCATGGAATATCTTAATCTTTTTTACTTTTAACCTATCTGTGTCTTTGGATCTGAAATCAGTCTCCTGTAGACAGCATATAGTTAGGTCATGTTTTTAAATCCACTTCATCAGTCTCTATTGATTGGAGTTTAACCCATTTACATTTAAAGTAATTACTGATAAGGAGGGACTTGTGTCATTTTGCTGTTTGTTTCCTATATGCCTTATAGCTTTTTGTACCTCATTTTCTGCATTAGTGTCTTTTGTGTTTAGTTGATTTTTTTGTAATGAAACATTTTAATTCCATTTAACATCCTAAAGTAACAACACTCTAATTTGAATTTTCACCAGCTTAACGTCAATAGTGTATAAAAACTTTGCTCTTATATAATTCTGTATTTACTTCTTCAGCCATTAATATCACAAAATTACATCTTTAAGAATTGTCTGAAAACATAGACCAATAACTTTTATACATTAGTCTCTTAAATAATGTGGAAAACGAAAAGTCGAGTTACCAATCAAAGTTAGAATACTGGCTTTTATAATCACCTATGTATAACTTTACTGGAGATCTTTATTTCTTCACATGGCTTTGCATTCCGATTGTCCTTTCATTTCAACCTGAAGAACTCCCTTTAGCATTTCTTGCAGGGCAGATCTAGTGGAATCAGTCTCCTTCAGCTTTTGCTTATCTGGTGATGTTTTAATTTCTCCCTTGTTTCTGAAGTTTTTCCAGATGTAAGATTTTTGGTTGAGTTTTTTTCTTTTAGCACTTTGAATATATCAAACCACTGCCTTCTGACTTCCAAGGTTTCTGGAGAGAAATCTGATACAGTAGTCCCCCCTCATCCACAGTTTCAGTTACCCACAGTCAACTACGGTCCAAAAATATTACATGGAAAATTCCAGAAATAAACAATTTCTAAGTTTTAAGTTTTGTGCTGTTCTGAGTGAATAGCATGATGAAATTTCATGCTGTCATGCCCAGGATGTGAATCATCCCTTTGTGTGGCATATCCATGCTGTGAATGTGACCTGCCCTTCAGTCACTTAGTAGCCATCTTGGTTATCAGATCATCTGTCATGGTATCACAGAGCTTGTGTTCAAGTAACTCTTATTTAATAATGGCCCCAAAGCACAAGGGTAGTGATGCTGGCATTTCAGATATGCCAAAGAGAAGCCAGCCATAAAGTGCTTCCTTTAGGGGCTGGTCCTGTGGCTGAGTGGTTAAGTTCACGCACTCCGCTTCAGTGGCCCAGGGTTTCACCTGCTCGGGTCCTGGACGCAGACACGGCACTGCTCATCAGGCCATGCTGAGGCAGCATCCCACATAGCACAACCAGAGGCACTCACAGCTAGAATATACAACTATGTACCGGGGGGGCTTTGGGGAGAAGAATAAAGAAAAAAAAAAAAAGATTGGCAAGAGTTGTTAGCTCAGGAGCCAATCTAAAAATAAAAAAAGTGGTTCCTTTAAGTGAAAAGGTGAAATTTCTCAATAAGGTAAGAAAAAAATCATATGCTGAGGTTGCAAAGACCTACAGTTACTTTTAGTACAGTATATTGTTATAATTGTTCTATTTTATTGTTGTTCATCTCATACTGTGCCTAATTTGTAAAGTAAAAACATAATATATAGGGCTCAGTACTATCTGTGGTGTCAGGCATCCATTGGGGATCTTGGAATGTATCCCCTACAGATAAGGGAAGACTACTGTAATCTATGTAATGAGTCTCTTCATTCTTGCTGCTTTCAAGATTCTCTCTCTTTAGCTTTGGATAGTTTGATTACAATGTGTCTTGATGTGCGTCTTTGACTTCACCCTCTTTGGAATTCACTGAGCTTCTTGATAGGTACATTAATGTCTTGAATCAAATTTGGCAAGCTTCTTGCCGTTATTTCTTCAAATAATCTCTATGCAGCTTTCTCTTCTTTCTGGGACTCCCGTAACATGCTCCCTGTTCAATTTGATGATGTCTTACAAGTCCCTTAGGTTCTGTTTACTATTTTTCTCCTCCTCAGACACAGTAATTTCAACTGTCTGGTCTTCAGGTTTGCTGATGAGTTCTTTTGCCTGCTCAAATCTGCTGTTGAACCCCTCTAGTAAATATTTTATTACTGTACCTTTTTGCTGCAGAATTTGGTTCCTTTTTATATTTCTCTTTGTTGATGTTCTCATTTTATACATCATTTTCCTGATTCCCTTTAGTTCTCTGGGCATATTTCAAAGTCTTTTTCTAAGTCCAATGTGTGGGCTTCCTCAGGGCCACTTTCTGTTCCTTTGAATAGGCCTTGTTTCCACTTCTTTGTATGCTTTGCAATTTTTTTCTTGTCAAAAATTAGGCATTTCACTTTATAATATAGTAATTCTGGCTATAAGATTCTTCCCTATCCCCAGGGTTCACCACTTTTTTTTTGATTGCTGAAGGCTGCTGCCCATCTGTTTTGAGACTTTTCCAAACTATTTTTACAAAGTCTGTTCCTTGTTGTGTGATCACTGAAGTCTGTTACTTTTCTCTGATGTCCAGCTGTTTTGACAGAGATTTCCTTGAACACCAGTTCTCCTTGTCTTTGCAGATTAGCTGGGTGCTAGGACACTCCTGCAGTTCTTTAGCTAGGCTTGCTCCAAGCCTAGGGATCAGACCAAGGTGAAAGCTTAAGGTCTTAGATCTTTTCTGAGTATGTGTTTTGCCTGGGCATGCATGTGGCATTCTAAATCCACCCCCATATACAGGTGCTTTTCAATGTCCAATTTCCTAAAAATCTCACCCCTGCTTCTCCTTTGGGCCTTACAGGGTATATCTTATCTCTTGCCCTAGGTGTCTGAGTCTGTAGTTACCTTGCACCTTTACAAGCAGTGCCCACCACTATTCCTGATTTACAAGTTATGCAAAACAAAGATGAGCACCTTGAGTCAGTCTTTCAGGTACCCCCCCCCCCCCCCCCCCCCCAGAGAACAGAAAAGACATACACAAGAATTTGCAAATAAAGTCTATTCTGCCTCCTCTGGTTTGAGAGGGAACTGAGAACCAAGCTTCTGCCACTTCAAGAATAAGACTGCCACTGCATTGGGGCAAGGATGAGTAAAAACATCATAAATCTCTCCTACCGTTCTGAAGATGGTTTTTCTTCACTGGGCACTGTCTTGGTTGCTGTAAACCTTTGACTGCTTTCCAGAGCTCCAATAAAGTTGGTTCATCCAGTTGCTGGTTTTCTTTTTTTTTCCTCCAATGTTTCTGTGGGGGAACAAGAGCTTTGGAGAGTCCTAGTCCACCATTTTGCTGGTGTCAACTCAGGTCAGCTGTTGTATTCCTATCTGCAATTCTAGTGTCATGACAAAGCTTTGAACAGAGTATGTTTTAGATACATGTATGGTGATTGAACTTTGGTTAGTCAGACTTGGAAATATTGTGTAAATGTTAAAAAAAAAGGTCTCAAAATTCTCATTCTGATAGTTTGCATTTAAAATTAATGAATATATTTTGTTCCAATTTCTTGCAATTACCAATCTTGTCTCTTTTTTTTTTTTTAGGAAAACCACCCCTGAGCTAACATCCATGCCCATCCTCCTCTACTTTATATAAGGGATGCCTGCCACAGCATGGCTTGACAAGTGGTGCATAGGTCCGCATCCGGGATTGGAACCAGCAAACCCCAGCCCGCCAAAGCAGAATGTGTGAACTTAACCGCTGTGCCACCAGGCTGGCCCCAATCTTGCCTCTTTTGCTGGCCGTGATGACAGTCACTAGAGAACAATAACTTTTATACAAACTGTTATGAAATGAAAATTCTCCATACACTCTTGGTACCAAAACATTAAATGAAGTTTATTGGTTTCTGCCAATGTTTTCCACTTTATAGTAGCATATATTCTTGTAACCTGTCTCATTGTGGTGTAAGGCAGAAATGAAATATATAAAACAAAAATAATATGTCTTACAAATATTTGACTGTTCTTTAAAATACTAAAATAACTTTCTGATAACATTCTTTCCATAGTATAGATATTAATTTTGTTCATTTAACAAGGATGTTTAATGCTGACTATGTTCTGTTATTTTAGGATTTTCACTAAGCAGACGCACACCCAGTTTCTACAGGTGAAATCAAGTCAGTCATCTAAAAACCTCATAATTTCCAATCAAATTAGAGTCTTCTGTTTCCAGTAAAATGGAATTTATGGTGGTGCTAATCTGAGTTAGACTGTGTCGGCAGAAAACGACAGAAGTTGATTTTTTTTCTTAAAACTTTCTGCACAATGAATAGAGAATTCTCAGATTTGTAGTTTATTTTACATTCTCTGCATGTTCATTGTATTAAGTTGACAATCAAAATCAGTGGCAAAACTTTTCCTATCTGGCCTGTCTTGTCGTACTAGATTGAGAAGTTGGTATGTGTGCCAATATTTAACCAAAGTGGAGAGAAATGTATTAGTGAAGTGACCTACTGGACCCCCCTTCATTAATATAGGTCACAGTAGATTATTAATTATATCAGTGTGCACGGTGTCTATTTCCAGGTCTTAATCCCAAGGCCTACCTTCCCTCCTCTTCCTTAGATTGTTACTTGGCTTATAAAGAGTTTAGTTCTACTTGAATAAAAGGGAATGGAAATAGATTCCTTGACAGCACTTTTACAAAACAAATTGCAGCTGTGCAAAGATTTTGCTTTGAAAGCATATAAAGGAAATCAGTATTTTTAAATGTCTTGATCAAACCATCCTATGAATCTGACTATCACGCAAGAGAAGGCAGTTTAGTGTGAAGACATGAAAGGTACATCTTTACTTCTCTTTGTGCTCACATCAGTTTTTTTGCGTGATCATTTTCCCAGTTTCACGACTGACTACAATGGTTACCATTTCTAGGCACTTCGTATATTTTTAGCTGAAACAGTAATTATTCCCTTAATGCTTGCTTTTGTCTAAGACAAGCCTTTCAAAATTGTAGTAAATTAGTTACTTCATTTTAAATTTGGTTAAACTACTATTCCCCTTCCATGCAACATCAAGGCCTCTGGGAGGCAGGGCAGATGACTTTCATTTTTATCAGTACTACTCATTTCTATTGGGTTAACTTCTCCCCTTTCTATTCTGTACCAAGGTTACAACCTTGTAGCCAAATGAACTTATTGTTCATAACAAACCCCAAAGGCTCAGCTGTAAAAAAGAACCCTATGTTAACTTCAAATATTGTATGAAATGACCCTGCAGCAGGCTCTCCTTTGAGAAGTAATAAAACATTTTATGAGTATTAATTTGAAAAAATAAACTCATTCAATCCTCAGGCTCATTTTGTTCATATTCTCAGTTTTTAAAATCCTTTTTCCTCTAACTATTCAACCAACTCTGGTTAATATCAGGGACAAAGAAAATTTATGAAGTATTTTCCTTATGAGCTATGTAAACATATTCAAGGACTCAAATTTTCAGGTACTGTCTACTTGATAATGGGTACTAATGTCAAATAGAAAAGTTAATAGCTAAATAAAAATGACTAAATATTAACATTCACAGACTAAAAGTTCTATGACAAACTTTTTCTTTGGACTTTCTTCAGGAACTAAGATTTAGGATAACCACAAATACACAAGTATTTTTATCATATATGTAAACAGAGAAAAATCTTTTAAGGTAAAAATTGGGAGAAAAATTATTAAAAATAGAAAAGCAGGAATGTTAATACATGTAATTTCACTTACCTTGCAAGTTTTCTACCCATTTTGTTAGAACCACTGACCTTTACCAAAGTGCCATACATTAGTTATATCATACTGTATTAGGTAGAATATGCTAATATAAAGATATCCTGTAACAAAGACCTGGAAAAAAAAGTGGCTTAGGCAAGATTGATATTAATTTCTGTCTTGTAAAACAATCTGGAGGTAGGCAGTCCAGGCTGGTTATGGTAGTAGCACTTCAACAAAATTACACAGCAACCCAGGATCCTTCCGTGTGGTTCTCTTCCACAGTAGAGCGCTGCCTCTTCTCTAGAGTCCAGGCTGCCTCACTACCAGATCCACTTCCAAGTAACAAGATTGAGAAAGGGCAAAAAAAACAGTCACACCATTTTGAAGGACACATATTTCCGCTCACAGTTCACCAACCAGAACAGTCATACTTTCGAGAGACTGACAAAGGTAGTCTTTGTTCCAGGAGAATGTCTGTGCCTAACTGAAAACCAAAGGTTCTATCACTAGATGAAAAGGAAAGAATGGATACCGTGGGGAAACTGGTCTTCTCTGGACATAGCTCATTTAGATGCTTGCATAATTAGAAATTCAAACTTGAAAATGGTTCTACTGGGAATATGCCAGGATTTACTAGCTGACAAATACCTACTATGCTGGGTTTACTTTTCTAAAGGATTAGTTTACTTCCTTCCTTCACTCACCAAAAGCAATACAATACAAAACACTATCTCCGAATGAGTTCCAAGGTATGTTTTATTGGTATAAAACCAAAATAAGGTGATGTAATTGTCTGGTCTGCCAATTAGCTACCCAGAACTAGGTGAAAATGATTTTCTCTTGTAATTTTTTTACTGACGGAAAAGGAAAAATTTTTTTTATGAAATAATACTGATTCGTCTTGGCAATTTATTTGACTCAGCAACTGCAGAGTACTAAAACAAAAATAGTTAATTTTTATCAAATAAGTAAAAAGTCGGTAATAATTTTGTTACAGCTTCTGAAAAAACTGGTAAAATTATAAAGCAGAGAAAGATTTCTCAAGCCATCTGTGTATTTTTCTCCTTTATTAAGGGAGAAAAAAAAGTCTTCATGATTCTGCCAAAAGATCCTCTAACAATGCAGAAGTAGTCATGGAATGTCTTAAACCTCCATCCTACTGATGAATCTTCTTTCAATCTTCCTATGCAGGAGACTATTTAAAGTCACATTACACAGCAGCTACTGTGCAATAATAATCTGATGCAATATAGCCATGATCAGTTTGCTTGTACCTGATGCAAAAGCTCTCAACTCTAGGCCTGCATTATGATATGTAAAAAAGTTGTCCTCCATCTAATATCTTAAAAACTACCCCCAGTGTAATCATTAGAGCATCAAAGCTACAAAACAGATCCATATAAAGTTATTTTTGTTTAAAATACACATATCCCAAGTTTCCATTTTCTGGAAAAGGCAGAGCCCAAAAGTTACACTGCAAAAGCCACTTTGCAGGTGGCTTTATTTAGTTGACCCAAGATGAATCAGTGCCATTATTGTTGTATAGCTATGAAACAGATCATCATCCTTTACTTCATTACATTTCTTCAATATAAAGTTCCCAGTGACTATGCGATCACAGCCAATTTCTCCATTTCCAAAGAAGCCAAATAAAGGAACACTAGGAAAAAACTTTCTAAATGCATCAGCCTCAACATTCCCCTTGGCTCTGTAATACTGAAAGCCCCTGCCAACGCATGCAAACATGAAGCCAATGGTGTTCTGTTCTGGAATATTGGCTGCTTTGAGGCGCTGCATCGCAGCCTCAGCAGTCTTCTCATCATTGACATCCTCGTTGAGAAGCACTGTGGCGCTCTGAATTCGGTGTCCGCTAAATGACAGTCCAACCACACCTGTGGCATCAATATCCAGAGGGTTCCTAGAAAATTACATGAGAAACGTGGTGATGTATCATGAAACAAAATTTAAATTTTGAAGTGTAAAAGAAAAGAAACACCGTCCTGATTCACTGGTTGGGAGCTGCTGCCTTTAGCAGCTTACAGTTAGTCCAAGGTTTACTCTGCCAGATAACAGGAGTATTAATAAGGTTAAAAATTAAACTATTGAAATTAATACATTTAAAGAATACAGAAGGCAGATCTATAGAGAAGTAAGCAACTATTTTTTCAGTCACAAATAGAAAAGGGCAAATGTAGCCCCGCAAAGATTTCTGAAACCTATCCTGGGTTTTTAGATGGTTGTATAGAGTATCCTTACCTTTCTCACTTCTTCAAAAGAAACCTTACACTTTTATTCATATACACATGATATCTACTAGATGAAGCTTTTTGGCATTATTGACATCTTTGGTATCTTTTTTTACCCTACCTGAGCTGTCAAATTCTAACAGAGGTGTATTAAATATTCAATCATGGAGGGTAATTTTATTAAGAACCTATAACTCCAGAAGTTTTAGCTTTATGTTGTTTGGTCCATAAAGAAATACGTTACATTGCTGTGTCTTCTTTATTGTTTGAGTCTAGAATTGAGCTTAACCTAAAGAAACACGTGTTTTCTTTTTGTATGTATTTGACTGGTATTTTTTAATGAAATATTTTATCCTTACTAAAGAATATATAAATAAAGTGTCAATAAAGTTATAAAGCACAATATAGTGAATACCCACTGGGGAAAAACAAGTTAAGTACCTTACACTTCTATCATGTTTACCAACATCTATGAAATGGGCAAGATTAACGAGAAACCAAGAGTCAAAAAGCTTAAGTGAGGGGCTGGCCCAGTGGCACAGTGGTTAGGTTCACACGCTCCACTTCAGCAGCCCAGAGTTGGCGGGTTTGGATCCTGGGTGTGAACCTACACACACACTGCTCATCAAACCATGCTCTGGCAGGGTCCCACATACAAAATAGAGAGATCTGCAACAGACATCAGCTCAGGGCCAATCTTCCTCAAACAAAAAAAAAGCTTAAGTGACCAAGATAATAAGGCTAGCTAGTGGCAAAACCAGTTTCTAGAGGGCAGAATCCATCTTCTCCAGTCCTCTGCTGCTCCTTTAACGTTATTACATTTCCTCTTTGGTATACAGTTGCAATATGTGTTGTCAATCTCTTGCCTCAACGAATTATGTACCTGTCTTTCTCGGGGGTGGGGGGAACACAGTGGCTAGTATCTGGACACCATTAAATGGAGCACTGATTTACTCAATGGCTTATCTTACCAATGAACAGTATGAAGACCACATTAACATTCATGTGTCATATAAGGGGCAATAATTTTTGAGAGTATATTTCCCATATTAGGTATAAAAAGTAGATGATATATAGACAGCCATGCTAACAGGCTAGCACCTCGGATGTTATGTCTGAGTGAGAGATTGACATTTCAAAGGTAAACTGTATGTTAAATCACCACTGCCCTATCTGTATACAATTTAAAGGTAAAAGCAAAGACACGGAAAATTTTGCAAGGGAAATAACCCACAGATCACTACCAAGAATTAGGTGTATTTATGCATGAAATCCAATGTTTGATATCCTGCTGCTTGGAATTTAATGCACTTGGCTTTCCTCCCTTCTTCCTTGCTGGCAGTCCAGGGACCTTGACTGAGCTATTTGCTTTCCCTGATCCATCGGTCGAGACTACCAGGAGGGAGATTATAACTCGGATGATTTACAGTGCTCTTAAAGATACTGATTTCTAACAGTCTGTCTCCACATCACCACTCCAGGATCCCAATACTAAACACAAATATAGTGAGAAACAAATACTAGTGTTGGCAGGAAGCATTTGGGAGAGAGGGGAGCCTCATTTTCCTGCTTTTGAAAACAGTTTATGTCCACTTAATTAGCTCAAACTCAAAATACTATATACTTTCATTAAAAATGGAAAGGGAGTGGGGCTGGCCCCGTGGCCGAGTGGTTAGGTTCCCACACTCCGCTGCAGCGGCCCAGGGTTTCACCAGTTCGAATCCTGGACGTGGACATGGCACTGCTCATCAGGCCATGCTGAGGCAGCATCCCACATGCCACAAGTAGGAGGACCCACAACCAAGAATACACAACTATGTACCGGGGAGATTTGGGGAGAAAAAGAAAAAATAAAATCTTTAAAAAAAAAAAAAAAAAAGGAAAGGGAGTAATGGCCCCCAAGACACAGAAGATATTTTTTATCTTTGAAAGCAAAAGCCTTAGTAACAAAATCAAAGATGCTCAATTTTTGAGCTTGAAAAAGCCTTTCAATAGATCTAGTACAGAATTTCAAAAAAGTGTTACAAGTAATCCTAGTACACCGGCAAGATGCTCCACAGAAAAAAAGCTTTTGTGACCAAACAGATTTGAGAACTGCCACAGATGGTAATATTATCTCCCTTCTAGAAGACTTCCAAAGCACTAAGCATATCAGAAGCTCTGAGAAGTTTTACCATAAAGATTTGCTGTTTAACCATGCATTTTCTTTAGAGGAGGAAACAGAACTAGAGAGGAAGTAACGCACTGCAGTGACAGAGCACAGAGCTGTCAAGGGAGACAGCAGTAGATATCGCTGAAAATCAATTTTGAGGACCGTATGAGTCCACCTAGGAATAAATTCTTAAGAGACAACATATATAAATTTCATCAACTATAAGCAGAATTATGTTGAGTAAGCCCTCAACCTATGTCTGTTGCAAAATGGAATGAACTGTTAGTTTGGCAATTCTTTAAACATGTTTTTAAGAAACCCAAGGTAACAAAAACCTGAGAACATTTCCCACCATGAACAGAGGAAATCAGACATACTTTTCAGAGGTCAGCGATGCCAGGTTGTCCACCTGGCCTCCAGCCAAGATGACATTCATATCACTGAAAGTGCTTACGACTCGCTGCAGATAATTACTGGCTCCCGCCTTACAGCAATTATAGCCAAATACAAGGACCACACGAAGCTCAGGGTTATCTAAAAGACCTGCAGAGAAATGAAGAGCAACAATTAAAGACAGCCTTAAAATAGAAATCTTTAATTTACTTTTATTATCTACATTTTACAAATGAAACATTACTGCTAATGACTTGCACTCCTAGCTAAGTGCAATTTAGTACTTAAGCTGTCAAGTTTTCCATTTTTTACAAATTTAACACTACTCAAAATCTTTGCTACAATTTTTCCCCATAAAAAAACTAAAGGCTATTTGAAAATAACACAATCAATGTTCAACACAAATAAGGAAGCAGCTATGTAACTGAGCAGCCCCTTGGTGGACCTTGGTGCAAGCCGTCTCCACGCAGCCCACCAACTGGAATGAAAAGGAACACTGGTTCACACAGAATAGAGTAAACAGCAGTGGGAATTTAAAGATCCAGAGAAAATGGAGAGAAAAGGCACTAACCACCTGTACTGACCTGTAGTGAGCTGAATGGTGGGCCCCTCTGACCCCAAATATATCCACGTGAAATCCCTGGAACTGATGAATGTAACCTAATTTGGAAAAAGGGTCTTCATGGATGTAATTAAGGATCTTGAGATAAGATCATCTAGATTATCCAGGTAGCCTCTAAATACTACGACAAGCGTCTTTACAAGAGATATACAGACACACACAGACGGAGGAGGAGGCAGCGTGACCACAGAAGCAGAAACTCAACAGCCACCAGAAGGTGGCAGAGACAGAGCAGAGATTCACCCCTAGATCCTCCAAAGGGAGTGCAGCCCTATCGACACCTTGATTTCAGACTTCTGGCCTCCTGAACTGTGACAGAATAAATGTCTGTTGTTTTAAGATCCCAAGCTCGTGGTAATGGATTAACCATTGGAAACTCATTCCAAAGCAGGAAAATGTTCAATTCTGCAGCATACAGACAAAAAGCAGCTACCATCAAGGGGCAGACTAGCCTAACTGTACTCACGCACTCCTCCACAAGCTCCAGGATTTGCACGTGTGCCTCCGGCACCTTGTTTACAGACTATCAATTTGAAATTTGCTAGTATTACCAACTGGGTGGCTTCGGGACAAGAAAAAAAATACCAACACCTGACCCATGCTCACATTTCCACTGACTCAGCCACGTGACTTCCATCTTGACAGACCTAAGGTGAAGGTTAGAAATAAGGCTCACTTAAGGAAACTGGAGTGGGGGTGAAGGACCAATTATTAACACCAAATAATGACTTATCCAGGGAAACTGTCTCTGGTCCATTTCTAATTCCCTACACAGTAAATCACTGATTTGGAGAGTGAAAAGGATGTTAATATACAAATCCAGTACTTTCATGACACCATATACCCTAAACCATTACTAGAGGGTCTTTTTTTTCCCCACACAGACCTGCCTAGCAAATTTTGAGAGAACGTTTTTTCTTTTTTTTTTTTTGAGGAAGATTAGCCCTGAGATAACTGCTGCCAATCCTCCTCTTTTTGCTGAGGAAGACTGGCCCTGAGCTAACATCCGTGCCCATCTTCCTCTACTCTATATGTGAGACGCCTACCACAGCACAGCTTGCCAAGCAGTGCCATGTTTGCACCCGGGATCCGAACTGGTGAACCCCGGGGCCGCGGAAGTGGAATGTGTGAACTTAACTGCTGCACCACTGGGCCGGCCCCTGTTTTCTCTTTTTTAGAATGACTTTTCAGAGTTGCAAGAGGGCTGTGGGATCAACAGTCTAGTCTTATTTTACAAATAAGAGCTGCTAATCCCGGAAAAGTGACTAGCCCAGGACAGTATCATAGCAGACTCTAGATTAAAATCCACATCTCCTGAAGAGTTTTCAGTTTTAGAAACCTAAAAACTTCGAAATCTCTACCTTTCCTACAGTTTTCTAAGCTCTAGACCTTCTTACAATTGTCTACTAAATATTTTCGTTGGAATATCTAAAGGTACCACCCTCAGTGATTTAACAAACACATACCCAGTGCTTTCAACATCTTCCCCCAATGGTACTGTTCTAAAGTGGAACCACACACACTAAAATCTATAGAGAACAAATCCACCTTAGCCCAGGCTGGTTGCCTGACAGAGCAGATGGATCTGTATTTAACCAACAGACACCTGGAGCTTCAGGTGTGTTAAAAGAAGGAAAGTGCAACTCAAACTCCTTGCCAAAACAGAGGCCTAAGACACACACCTACGACAACGAGCACCCAGTTCCTTCTCAGATAAATTCTGATACTACCTTCAGCCTTGCCTCAGTTCACCTCAGTGGGGACATAGGACAGATAATAGGACAAGTATCTTAGGTCTTTCAACTTCAAGAAAGCACACGGGCCATATCCCCAGCTCAGCTGCTGCTTGGGCAGACGACTACTCAACCAGCACACCTACGAAAAGGTGCAATCTCCAGTTCATTACTACTTGAAATCCAGCTGTGAGAGCTAATCAGTCAGACTGAGTGCCTAAACAACATGTGGGCCATCCATTCCTTTGGTGGTTCTAAATATTCTTCGATTAAGCAAAGCGCTCAGTAACCAGACCTCATTGGTTTGGACCCTACAACTGCTTTTACTGAGTCATATTTGGGCGATGCCACTGGTGTTCAGAGTGACGTAATCAGAAACAGCTTAAAAAATTCAGTCTATTCACTATAAGGGCACTGCGGATCCACTAGGAGAACTGATCTCAGTTATCAGAAAACAGGGAAGAGCTGTCTTCTCACGCCCTGGAACAGCCACACCTGTGGACCACCTCTAGCAAATGTTGACGGTATGCATTTCACGTACTACCCTCAGCCTGGGCTTTACTATATTCCTCCTACACATGTCTCTCAATTCAGAATTCCTCCACTGATATTGTATGTATCTTTGCAAGCTGCCTTAAATTCATTTTCAAGTAAGGCAGAATGTGAATTCATTACAGCTAGGATCAAGCTGGAAGGTTAAAAGGAAAAAAGAAAAAAAATAAAATCTAGACTCCAAGACTAATGTCAGATTCAGGAAAGCCAACTATGAAGAACTATTCCAAAGACAGGCTCAGACTGCTTTAGGTATGCATGCTCAGATTTCTATTCTTTTTAGAGAAGCCACTCTGAAGACAACTGTTGTGACCTATCTGAAAGTGATGTAATCTAAATGAATGTAGAAAACCTACTTCAAAGAAAATGCCTATGTAAGAGACTAACACCATGAACAATTCATGGACAAAAGCTGGGTTCTCCTTTCCCCACCAGCCCTTAGGTTTGAGCACCTCTTCCTTCCCTGTATTTTCACACCTATCTTTTTTACACGAGGGGAGGTAGGTAAGTATGAAGTCAGCACAGTAAGGACGTGGCCTGCGGAGTTAGACCTGGGTCGGAACTCAGGCTCAACCACTTGCAGCTGTGTGACTTTGAGCACGTCAACTTGACTAAAAGTGGGACAGGAGCAAGTTTCAAGGGTGGTTGTGATGATTAAAGAAGATAATGTCATAAAGAAGCATCTAACCCCGGTGCTTGGCACCCAGCAAGGCTCAACAGAGGAGAGAAAACAAAGCACATTCTGGCTAAACTGAGGGCCCTGACCACAATTTAGATTTGTTTAACCAAATAACGGAATGATGAAGCTTAAGGCAACATTTCCCCTTGAATCAAATGAATCCAAAGTGAACATCTAATTTAGAGGGGCAAAAAGAAAGCTTCCATCCCACCCGCAAAACTGGCTGGGGGTCACCTGCGTTGCCCTGAATTTCATGTAACTGTCATGCTTTTTGAGATGCACCTCATCCAAAAATAGCTCTGATGTTGTACAATGAGAAGCTGTGTCACTGTGTATGTGGTAGGGGATTAAAAAAAAGAGAAGATCCACACATCATTCAGCTCCATGAACATGGAGCCTGTGGCACGAGGGCTGAGGGTGAGGGCATGTCGGCCCGGGGCTATATTCCACCACCACTGTGACCTGGGAGCAAGCCCCCACAAGACCTCTCAAAGTTTGACTTTTCTAGGACTCTGCTCTTGTAGCTGAGTGAAGTCCACCAAAAAGGGCAGGAAAGTGTGATAGAATGTCAGCACCACATTCTTGTCACTTAAGAGTTTTTCAAGAGCTGGGCAGCTTCTAAAGCAGAGCGAGTTCCAGCACTTAGGTTTTAGCACCATTTTTCCCTGCCTTGTACCTGATCACTGCCTGTGGCCCCCTCAAGATTCTCTATGAAGTCTCCAGATAATTTAAAAACTTAGTCTTTCAATTTTTTTTGGAATCTGTCTTAACAAATAATTAAAATTCAGTTTTCACCCCTCCCAGTTGGTGGCAGAGTTCAAGAGGAGTCGTCGAAGGACCAAAAAGCAGCAAGCAGAAGGGACCTAACAACGCACAGAGTAGATCACAAGATCACCAACATAACAAGAAACATGGCACTTGGGCAGGCACTGTTCTAAGCACTTTACAGAAACTAACTTATTTAATGCCCACAACAGTTACCCATTATGCTGTTCAGCTCCTAGAAAGTCCAGGAGGATTCAATGTCTTCAAAATCCACATTACAACATACAAATTATAACCCCTGTTACAGGACCCAACTCAGACCAGACTAAGTAATAAGCACACCCTCCAGGAAGGGGCCGCCCCAAAGGAAACTGGTGCCTATGGGGCTGTGCAAAAACACAGGCACTTCCACTCCTCTCCTTCCAAGAGCAAATGCATGAGCATTCTTCAGGACTTCCTCTCATGACTCTCAAATGTAAAAGTCAGTGGAAGATCTTTTCTAATGTCAATTTCTACAAATAAAACTGAAACCTAGAAAATCGTGCCCCAAGTGGCCCTGTCATAGGTTTGAGCTTTACCTAGAAGAGTGTCAGAAGGATGTATTTGTATAAGAGGAAGAAAGAATCATAGGTGTGAGGCAAGTGTCTCAAAGGGGAACAAAGCACTGGCTCCGAAGCTCCCGCTCGTCTTCTAAGCAACTGGCAGTCCTGAGGCTGCCTTCTCCAGTCTGTAGCAGGGGAGGGGTCACAGGCCGCCAGACACTGCTTTGATGCTAGAGCCACTTTCCCGGATAATTCAA